GAATGAATGGAAATCCCAAATCTCTGTAAATGTTCATTAAAATTAATAAAATAAAAAAACATAAAAAAACCAAAAAGAAAGAAACAAACCTCTATAAAAACAAAGCATAAAATAATGTAATGTAGTTTAAATCAATCAGTGGAGCTGAAAATATTACACTGCGTGTCTTCAGATGTACCACATGGAGGAACTCTGTCACAGGGAAATGTCTTCATTACTCAGTTTAAATGCACGTGAGTAGGCAAAAGATGTCTACACGAGTGAAGGGCAAAAATACTTAAGAATTTGAATATGATCAATTCACATGTAATGGTAAATAGAAATGGTAATGTTTAATAGTTTTTGGAATTAGAATGTATGTGTTATAATACTGCCACCATAATACTTTTCCCATCAACACTAGGTCAGTGGTCAAATCTAATTAACGTAATTCCCAGAGTTAACATGTGTAATAAGTTAGTGTTTTCTTCTACAAATGGAAGGGGGGAAAAGTCTTTGTTTTCAAATAAAACCAATACACTATTCCTGTACTTCTCAATAAATCAAAACAATAAGTTGTCCAAAACTCTTCTACCAGAGCTCTTGTAAAGGAGCCTGAGATATTTTGAAAATTATTCAAAAGCACAATTACTTTCAAAGCAAATAACAAAAGCAAAGACTTAATTCTATAAAAAGAAAGACTTAATTTTACATAATTGGGGCTAACCTAATGAAAAAATAGTATCTTTAATTCATTTAGGAGCTACTGGAAGGCAATTAAAAAGAACAGTAATCCTCAAACTCAATTAAAAATATCTCTAAAATTTAATCATCACTACTCTCCTTAAGAATAATTACAAATTAACTATATTAATTTTACACTGTTGTCTCTGTTCAGTTGCAACTAAAAAAGCAATAGCTGAACAGCCCCTCTTTTCTTTGATAGATGGGACTCCTGGGGCTAATTTCTAACGAAAACAATCTTATGATGTTCACCTCTGATTAAAAACAGAAAGGGTCCTAATGACTGAGATTGATGCTCCATTGTGCAAAACTAAATTAATGTCTCATGTTAATTTATAAATAGGCATCTCATTGACTATACTAACATCCAAAATTTCACGTCTCACATAGGAATTAAACTATAATTTAAGAGTAATTTAAGTGTGTTTAAAAAATTTGTATTATTTAATATAGAAACACTTGTGCTTCTCATTCTTATTAAATCTAATGACTAGCCAAAATAGAAAAGAATACTGCACAGAGATTTTCCTAAATCTATATATATTTAAATACCAATAGAAATTATCTATATATTTTTATTGTTTTCTTTGGAGATTACAGTGCAATTGTACAATTTGTTAAAGTGGGATGGCAGCTGTTTGGAATGCTATAAGAAATGGATACTCCAAAGACAATTCTTTCAAAACAGTCATCATTCTAGAGGAGATTATCAAGCAGCAGTCTGTAAAGATTTCATTGTCACATATTTTAGCTAATTTTCTTCAGTGGATGAAAATGTCTAAAAGCCTTCTCAAAATCAGAGATGAAGTAAATCTGAGATGCTAAAATCAAGTTTCAAAAAGACTTTAACAGAATGGAATGACAGATCCCAATAAAAAAAAAAAAAAGATAATACCACAGAGATGTGTGTGAACTAGTATGAATAAATTTTTCTAAAAAATTATAAAATCTCTTAGACAAAAATAGGAGACAGCAGGTTTCTATTTTCCACAGGTACAAAAGAGAAGCCTCAGTCTATGTAACACCAACAGTATCCATCATGAGTGAAATATGGTAAATGTGTGCTATTACACTACAGAAAAGAAATGAAAATGTTATTTGAAATAAGTCATTATATTTTAAAAGACTAACTGAAGAGGTGAAGCCAAAAGTTTGAAATCATTAATTAAAGAGCGTAGACGCACTTAGGATAGGTAGTCTGCAAAGAAAAGGTGAGGGAACACATCAAGGCCAAGTGCTTAACACAGTACACAAAGACAATGTTCTGCATCCTACTTTTATAGCAAATAGGGCCTTAAATGTTTGCAAGTGTGTATCTAAAGTGTCACTACTGGTCTCTTCCTATCAGGAAAAAGGAAGAGGAAAAAGAATCCCAAAGATCCATAGGACCAACCAGTGCAGAGGACTAATGAACCACAGAAACCTCAACCTATATGGTTCTGAAACTGGAAGAACTAGACAGTGCCAGTTACCACTGGAGACTCCTCTAAAAGGAACACAGGACATGGACAGTACTAGACAGAGTGGCAGAAAAGTATGAAAAACATGACAGGTTTACTGCCCTAATAGGGACTGGTGGAACCCTTAAAACACGGCCCTAAGTCACTATTTGCATTTTCATGATGAAATGGGGCTCTAAGATGACACAAGATGTTGTATGAGGTGTATTAGAGTATGTAAGGTCTCTACGTTCTAATTTTGATGTTTTTGAGAGTTTTAAGTACAATTAAAGAATTTTGTCTCTAAGTTAATATAGTTATTAGTAGTAGCAATAGTGGTAATAGTAAAAGTGCCAGCAAATATTCTTATATTGTACTATGTACCTGGCACCTTTCTAGCATTTCACACATATTAACTTAATGAACTCTCACTTAATGTTATGGAAGAATATATTATCACAATTTTACAGATAAAGGAGTTATAGAGAAATAAAGTAACATGTCCAAGTTTGTATGTGTTAAAAGTAAAAGCAAAAATTTAATGACTGCAAAGAATTCTGTAGAGCTGATGTTTTGTTAGTGTTAAACAATTTTTTTCATATTATTTCTCATTTTAATTCATTTTCAAATCCAATTTTTAGAGTCCATCACCATATTAGATATTTCTTAAGTAATACATTAAAAACTTCATCTTCAATGAAATCTAAAAAGAGGAAGTTAACATTCTTTAAGCAATCACATATTTAAGTGTACCCAGATGTTCTGCAATTTTAAAGCTTAATTTAGCAATTATTATTATTATTATTGTTGTGTGCCTTCAAGTTGGAACCGACCCACAAATGACCCTCTAGCAGGTTTTTCAAGGCAGCACATCCTTCTCTCATATTGCAGCTGATGGATTCAAACCAAGTGTCTCTGGAGTTGCAGAGCAGCTTTTTACCACTAGGTCACTAGAGTTCCAGCAAAGATTATCAAAGTAGAATGCTGATGGATGAGATTCCACGCACTGCTGATCGCTGAACGTGTGCGCCCAATTTTATGGATGTGGGGTCCACAATTTTCCCATAATTCTCAAAGGAACTTGATTTGAGTATTTCTCCTCTTTTTTTTTCTTTTCTGGGATGGTCTGGTGGTAAGGAGTTGTATTACAAACCCACAGACGTACAGTTTGAATCCAGCAGCTGCTCTGTGGAAGAAACATGGACAATCTTGTTCCATGCAATTTGCAGCCGCTGAAACCACTGGAGGGTCCACTATGCGTCAGATGTCACTCAACATTAAGGGGTGAGTGAATGAGTTCTGGAAAATTAAGCTATGATTACACAGGAAAAAAGAGGACATGACAGTATTTGACAATAATCTTAATCTAACTAACATCAATGTTGTATTATTCTGTTGTTGCTGATTGCCTTCAAGTTGAGCACGACTCATAGGCACCCTATGAGCAAAAGGCATAAAGCTTCTCTACTATCGACATTTGCCAAAGGTCATAGAGTTTCTGGAGGCATGTTGTTTAGTAAGTGGATGCCACTCTTGCTTCCAAACCTGTCATAGTATGTTATTGTTGTTATGTGCCATTGAGTCACCTGCAATGTATAGCAACTCTATGTACAGCAGCTCTGTACTATTCCCTGTCCTACTATTCATAAAAATCTAAGCTTTAACTTTTGAAATGTGCTATCAATTACAGAAATATAGACCCTCGGGCTACCCACCATCCCAATGCCTGCAGCCTTGACCCTGCACAACCATGGCCAAAGTACAGCAAGGAGGTGTATTTTGCTGAATGGGTGACATCCCTGGGCAAGGTCTGGCACGGGACCTGGCTCAAGAGTGAGAAAGGCGGGAAGACATGAACCTCTGGGGGCCACGGCACGCATGAGGCGAGGCTCTACTGCAACCAACCGTGCTATGTATGTTGCCACAGCTGGGCCCAAAGGCTTTAGGTGTGGGAGGAGCTGAGAGCCACACTTTTAAGTAAACCCAGGCACTAGGCTTCCCAGGAGGTGCTGAAAGAAGTGAGGCCCTCACTTTTCTGTTTGGTTTATGCAGATCCCATTCCCTGCTGACCAGCCAGTCTCCTCCACACTGTTGCCCCTGCAGGTGGATACCTGGCCCTGAGCCCCAGTGTCAGCTGCTCCCTTATCGCCACTCATGCTGTCAATAAACACAAACATACGGAAAACAAATAAACAAACAAACAAACAAAAAACCCCAAAACACAAATGGAATAAGCCTTTAAAAAGGAAAAGTAAAGCATGTGCAATTTTATCACGGTTTTCTTACCATCTTGAATTGCAGAGTTCTCACACGGAGGTAACGCTAGTAACTGCGGAACTACATCACCGGGCTGGCCTACCTGGTAATGCGCAGCTTTAGATCATAAAGAAGTTTGGACAGGGAAAAAAAAAGACCCATCAATATTGTGATACGCTTGAGAATGAAAAATTAAAATATGCCAGAAGAAATTACACATGCAAAGAGAAACGCTACTTAGAAGGAAATCTAGAGGTGGTGTTTATAAGGACAAGATATTATAAAAATAAGCAAAGCTTTCAGTACTATATTTTCAATCAGAATTGTGAAAAAGGAGACATTTTAAAAGAATTTTAGAAGATAAAAAGGAAGTCCAATTTAAGGTCTATGATTTGATAAGCTAAAACTTGAAAAGAAGTTTTATTTATTTGTTAATATTAACTTTTAATCTATTATTAAAATTCTAAGAGAATTTTAAACACATGATATAAACAAAAACAATTAAAATAAGGTGGAGTTTTTGTTATGGTTTTAAAAAGCAGCAGACACACTGAGGACATAAATGTTAAGAAAATCTTTTCCATATTTTCAAAGTAGTTCATAGGGTGGGATTCTTTAATTAAATAATTCAACAGTTTCAAATGAAATAAAAGTACAAAATATTACAAACTAATTTTCAATTTTAGTTCAGTGTTTCAAGTGTACTTTAAAATATTTCTTAGACTTTCTCTTATGAGCCATTAATATGTAGATCTACACCTCTCAGTCAAAAAACTGAACTGAGCACAATTTTCATTTAAATAGCATTACTTCTACTTTGACGTCAAAAATTTTTGAACATAACGGGTAACATGGAAACTACTACTGATGTTATTTGAGGGATGTAAATTATCCAAAAGCTAGTTTTGTTCACTATGTACCTTTTTCAACCTGTTCAATGACCTGCCTCACAGCTTCCTTTAAACTGTTGGCCCGTGACAGGATGAGTTTCTGTGAGAAAGTGAAGATATCGGTGAACTGCTCCTTGCCTTCACACAAGGATTCTTCACCGGAAGGTCGCAAGGGGTTTCCTTCCAGGGTGCCTTCTCTTAGGCCTGAGGGTTCTGGACAGACATAGACTTTCGTTTTCAAAGCCTGGAGCAGCTGTTCAAGCTTCTCATTTAGGATAGAACACTAAGGAAAGAAACATACAGGAATTTTGTAAATAAAACAGAGAAGAAAAAAAAATCAAATTTAAAAAAGAAGTAGAAATGAGAAAGAAAACAGAGAAGAGGATCTGCAGGAGATTTGTACACTGATGCTCATACAAGTGTTATTCACAACAGTTAAGAAAATAGAAACAGTCAAAAACAAACAAATGGATTGAGAAATTATGGTACATTCACATGATGGAATATTATGCAGCACTCATGAGAGAGGCTGGAGAACATTATGCTGAATAAACTACCTCAGTCTCATAAGGACAAATACCGCATAAGACCATTACTGTAAAAACAGAAGGATTAGAGGAAGGAGTGCAGGATGGCAGGAAGGAGTGCAGGATAGCGCTGCCTGTGCTGCTCCCACAGGTATTTAGGGGGTAAACTGCTGTCTAGCTTGACCACACAGGACCCCTTCATTCAGGAGCAGTGAGCCGTGGGCCCCAGTGGAAACTATCAGCTGAGTCCTGGCCAGAAGCCTCCTGCTGAACCACTGTGAGACACACCTGCAAGGAGGAAGCAGGTACTTTAGGGAACAAACTGTTGTCAGGCTGACCACGTGGGATCCCTAACTCAGGCAACAGTGAGGTCCTGGGCATCTTGATGGAGGTGAGTAGCCACTTTCAGAAGGGATCAACAGGCTTCCTCTGTGCTCACTCAGATACTTTGGGGAACAAACGGCTGTCTGGCCTGACCACGTGGGATCCCTAACTCAGGCAGCACAGAGGCCTTGCAGGCCTCAGGCCAAAAAGAGAACACAAATATATAGGTGTTTCTCAAAATGTTGCTGTGTATCAATGTGGACTTTTGAGAGTCATGGGAGCTGCAACCATCGGTGGGGTGCATCAAGTGTCAGTGGGGTGCAGCAAGCCTCTGTGGGGTGCAGCGAGCCATGGTGGGGAGCAGTGAGGCACAGCAGGGAGCAGTGAGCTGCAGCATGACCTACCCACCAGGTGCAAGCAGGACAGTGGAAAATTGAGCCAGGTCTCCCCTGCATCCTCCTCCTGTGTGCAACTCTGTACATCTCCCCACCTCCACACATGTGTCTGCACATGCACCCACCCCATGTGCATTTGCTTGTGTGCCTGCCCAACCTTCCTCTGGAGCAGTGACGTCAGATCAAGAACCAGCTACCATCTCAGGCACGAAACACTTGACCACAGCAATGTCCCAAAAGCAGCAGACTACCTCACTCCCCACACAAGCCCAAAGCAAGATATCACCCGCCCCAAGAGTGACACAGTAGCAATGGATTTCCTGAAGCCAGAAAGTCTGATGGAACTTTCTGACAGAATTTAAAAGAACAATGATTGAATATTTTCAATAGGTGAAAAATAAACTTGAAGAATTACCAGACACCGCAAGCAAAAATCAGGAGGAGCTTAAAAAAAACAATCCAAAACAATGCAGATAAAACTAACAAGGCATTAGAAGCACTGGAAAACAAGAAACCACAATTCAAAATATGAGGTCCAAGGTTTCAGATGCTGTCAACATGAAGGAGGAACACATGAACAGTGTTGAAGAGAAGGAACACAGAACTAATGAAATAGAAGAAAGAATTCTCACCACTGATCTGCTAGACCAAAAAGGAGAATCAAAGAACAAGAAGACAGTGGAATGACATATATCGAGCACTCAAAGAACATAACTGTCAACCAAGAACACTGTACCAAGTGAAACTGTCCATCAAATATGAAGGAGAGAGAGATCAAGATATTCCCAGAAAAACAGAGCCTAAGAGGATTTGTAAAAACAAGACCAGCATTGCATAAAATACTGAGAGATGTCCCTACAGAAGTGCCACAGAAAGCAAGATGGGCCAAAATAACTAGCAATAACACCAAAAAGAACTCAACAAAATGATAGCAATAAAACCTTGCCTCTCAATAATCACACTGAATGTGAATAATTTACATGCACCACTGAAGAGAAAAGGAGTAGCAGATTGGATTAAAAACCCAAAATCCATCAATATGTTGTCTAAAAGAGACACACCTTAAAAATGAAGAAAAAGAAAGACTAAAAAATAAAAGGGTGGGAAAAAAAAGATACCAAGTAAATGGTGCTCCCCAGTTAAAATAAGCTTGGAAGCAGGAGTGGCATCCACTTCCATAAACAGCTTGCCTCTGGAAACCCTATGAATCTGGAGCAAGGATGAAATTCACGCCAAGTGTCGAGCACTTTCGTTCATAAGGTCGCTATGAGTCTCCTACAACTCGATGGCACTTAACAACATAGAGAGAGACCTGTTGGCCTAGTGGACCGAAAGTGATGCTACCAAGCCAAAGGTGGGTGACGCTAATCCACGGCCCTAAGGCCTGTCTTTAATTGTTTTTGGTGAAACATTCTTCTAGGTCGTATAGCCCTGGTATGTCCCCTTGCCGTACAGAGGTAACTTGTGGTTGCTGTGAAGCTGAACACCCTGACACTCACACGTCAAATGCGATAATGGTTACTCAAGGTGGACAGTGTTTGGTGGTGCTCCCCGATTAAAACAAGCTTGGAAGCAGAAGTGGCATCCACTTCCGTAAATAGCTTGCCTC